CCGCGCGGCCGCCCCGCGCCGCCCTGCGCTGCTGCGTGCGCCGCCCGCGCCCGGGCCCGGGGCTCCGCGCAGGCGGCTCGTGGGAGCGGGCCGGGCCGGGAGAGAGGGCAGGCGCGGCAGCCGCGGCGGCGGCGGGGGAGGAGCCGCGCCCGGCGGCAGGAACTGATGTCAGGAGAGGGGCGGCTCGGCTCCGCCCCGCATGCCCGGGACCGGACCGCGACCAGACACGGGGCTCCCCGCTTCTGCAGTGCGCCCGGGACCCGAGGGCTCCCACTCCCCGAGGGTGTCCGGGACCCCAGCTCCCTTCCTGGGACCCTCGGCCCCGGACACTCGGGCCCCCTAGAGCTGCGCCCGGGACCCGGGGGCTCCCACTCTTCTAGTCTGTCCGGGATCCCAGCTCCCCTCCTGGGAGCCTTCTGACACTTGGGGCCCCGTAGTCTTCTCCTGGGACTCTCAGTCTCGGATATTTGGGCCCCTTAGACCTGCGCCCGGGACCTTGGGGCTCCCACTCCCCCTAGGGATTGCCTAGGCACCCCCAGCTTTGCACCTGGGACTCCTGGAGCCTTCGATCCCAGTGGCTCCCGGGACACTGTGACCTTCCTGGCCGTCTTAGCACCCGCCCCTCCCCAGTCCCCAGGACACTACGAACTCCCTGTCCCTAGCTGCCCCTTTGGTGCTGCTCCTGGGACACTGACCTTCCAGGTCCCCTTAGTCGTTTCCCCAGGGACACCTTTGCCTTCCTGCTCCTCAACTCAAATCCTGGGACCCCAACCCCTCTCACTCATCCCACGGTTTCTCTTGGCCTCGTAGCCCTGCTAGGTGCCCCCTCCCCACCCTCACCCCTGCTTTTTCACTCCGGACACTCTGACCTCTCAGTCCCCATTGACCCGCTCCGTCCTTCTAGAGACACTCCCACCTGGCTCTCTTGGGATTCTTTGACCCTTCCGCTCCTCTCTCAGGCCCTCTGCTCTTCCCCTGAATTCGGTCACCTTCCCCTTTGGAGACTGAAGCCCCCTCTCACACCCTCTGAGTAACTTGGACAGTTCCCTAAACTTCTCAGCTGGTTCCCCTCAGTCTAGTTCCTGAGATCCTTACACAGTCCCTCCTCACCCCCTCCCCCATTTCACTTTTGGTAGCCTCCAAACCCATCAGTTCCTCTCCCAGGAACTTTGCTCCCCCGTGTCAGCCCCACTGAAGACACTCTACCTCCTCAGCACTTTTAGACTCCATCCCACCGCCCCCCCAGGTTGCTTTACTTTCTGTAACTCTAATTAGTGATTTATAGCATTTTTTCATATGCTTGGTGATAACTTGGATCTCTCCTTTGAAAATTTCCTTTGACCACTTTTCTGTTGAGGAAGGGAGTGCGTAATACTCTTTCAAGGGGCACCCTGCTGCTGTAGCTCCTTGATCCCCACTCAGCAATATTTCACCCCTCTGGTAGTACTATTCCTATCTAACACCAGCCTTTTCTAACTCCTTACCTGAGACAACCACTCACCTAGGACGAAATAATAATAATATTTATATAGTGCCTTCCTCACAACAATGCTTGGAGGTAGGTGGGTATTCCAAGTATTATTATACCCATTTTACAGATGAGTAAGCAGGATCAGAGAAGTGAAGGTCACATAACTACCAAGTGCCTCAGGCAAAATTCCAACCCAGATGTCTTGACTTGAATCCAGCCTGCTATCCATACTACCTGTCTGCCCACAGCGAGTCAGAGCATGCCTACCTCACTCCCCATTAGTTTCCAAAGAAGGATCCTAGAAAATTTCATGATTTAGCCAGGAGGAGAACTTTAAGGAAATGGAAGAGAGATCCTAGGATAGACAGTTTCTCACAAGGATTATTATCTCAGGATTAAGGTCATCTATAGCATAGTTGGGGCTCCTCCTCTGTTCATTTTGTACCATCCTTTAAAGTTAAACTCAAATGCTACCTCCAGGAAGCCTTCCCTGATTCCCCCTCCTATGCAACCAGAGTAATGCCTTCCCTCAGCCCCTCTATGGCACTTTATTTTGTCAATCTCTAATACACTTCTCATGTAATAGTGGATTACTGTCATCTCTCTGCTTCATCCCTTTGATTCCTTGAGGGCAGGAACCATGTCTTAAATAGCTTGGTATTGCCGCAGCACCTAGCATGGTCTTCTGCAGCCAGGCTATATATTGTACTAAATTTTTTTGTTTCATTTAGTCTACCTGACCTTCGGTTTCCTTGCCTGCAAAGCAGGAATAGGTTACTTCATGGGGTTGTTGTGGAGAAAACACTGAAAACTTTCAAACACTACATTTTATTTCGTTGGACCTGATCTGCTACTTCTTTGGTATAAAGTACTTAGCACAGTGCCTGGCACATAGTAGGCACTTAATTAATGTTGACTGATTGATTGTTATGAGAAATTCCCACTGGGAATTTCTGGGGAAACTCTCCCCTTGTACCAATGCAGCTCAGCGCCTGCTTTGCAATTTAGGGTCTTAGGGAGTTTTCTGGGTCAACTGAGAGTTAAGTGACTTGCCCAGGGTGAAATTGCCAGTATATGTTGTTGTTGAGCCGTGTCTGACTTTTCATGACCCCATTTGGTCTTTTCTTGGCAGAGATATTGGAGTAGTTTGCCATTTCCTTCTCCAGCTCATTTTACAGATGAGGAAACTGAGGCAAACAGGGTGAAGTGACTTGCCCAGGGTCACACAGCTAATGTGTCTGAGGCCACATTTGAACTCAGGTTGTCTTCTTGACTCTAGGCCCAGTGCTCTATCCACTAGCTGCTACATCAGGGGCAACACAGGAGCCCAGGTCTTCCTGACTCCAAGGCTGGCTTTTTACCATTATACTACATTATATACCCATTATACTACATCACCTTTCAAATCACAAAACACACACCCAGCTAACTAAAGGGGCCCCGACATCTGAGTCTACTTAAAGAGCTTGGCTAACAGCCTCAGTCCATCAAGTGGTGTACCCTCCCCTCTCACTCCACCCAAGCCTACAGTGGTAACCACAGGCCTAAACTCCGTCCTAAGTAATTCTTGAGCTGGAGGAACAGTCTTTCTGCCCAAAGGTAAAGAGGGATTCGTGAGGATAGACGAGTTACTTGGGGTTGGGAGGCACAGCCCCCTCTCAAAGCTTGATCACAGCAGGCAACAACACCCAAGCTTCCCCTAGCATCAGGCTGCTTTGGACCAAGTGGGAATGGCTATACATCCATTACCACATAAGGAATGCTGAATAGGAAGAATTCAGAAACACCTAGAAAGTCTTATATGAACTGATGCAAAATTGAAATAAGTAGAACCACTATGACTTCAACCACAGAAACAACTAAACTCAATATTATATAATTATGATGACCAAGCTTCTCTCCAAAGAAAAAGTTACTGAATTTGCAGAAATATGAAGAAAAGACCCCTACTCAACTGGCCTCCTTCCCCTAGTCCTTTGCAGAGGTGTATGCAAGTATGGAATATTGTGTATAAATGTCAGATTTTTTTTCCAATTAGTTTATTGGTTTTGTTAATTTTTTTTCTTTCCAGTTTAAAAAAAAAAATCCATGCTACAAGGGATAACCTTATTGGGAGCAGGATTTAGAAGAAAATCTAGGTGATGTAAAAACAAGAGATATCAATAAAATTAAAAAAAAGAAAAAGAGAAGGTGAGAAAACATACCTCTGCCTCCCTTCTTGGCAAAGGCGGGGGACCATGGATATGGGATATTAAATACAGTATCAAATTTGGTTGAAAGGTTGGCTAGTTGTGCCAAAATCCTTTTGTTGTTCTCATTTATTCTGTTACAAGGGATCGCTTTCTGGATGTGGAAGGGAAATTATTTGGAAATGTGGGAAATGTATTATAAAAAAACAAAACATCAAAAATATTTAAGTTCTCCTTAAAAATTGGGGAGAGGGGGATGGCTGTCATCACAGAGCACAAAATGATATTGAGCAGAGACTGTCGGGAAATCCTAATATTAGAAGCAGCTGGAAATGGGACACTGAAACCTATTCCTTTGGCATGGGTTTGTTGTTCTTCAGATCACGTGAAGTGGGGACGGGGGCCTGCACAGAGGCCATGGGACTGTGAGTCAAGAGTCTCCATGAATCAAAATTCCTTAACCACCTCACACCGGAGCCTTCAACAAACCATAACCTCCAATTCCAGGGAGGGTGAAACTTCTTTTTCATTGTCTGATTGCAAAAATCTTCTTAAATTAAAACAAGGAAAATACTAGTAGTAGAATGCCTTATTCAGAAAGGAAAGGGGTGTGTGTGTGTGTGTGTGTGTGTGTGTGTGTGTGTGTGTGTGTGTGAGAGAGAGAGAGAGAGAGAGGAGAAGAGAGAGAGAGAGAGAGAGAGGAGAAGAGAGAGAGAGAGAGAGAGGAGACAGAGAGAGAGGAGAGAGGAGAGAGAGGGAGAGAGAGAGGAGAGAGAGAGAAGAGACAGAGAGAGACACAGAGAGAGAGAGACTGTGGAA